TAGCGCGGCAGGACGCGCCTTTCCCCGCCCGCAAGAAGACTTGAGACAAGCCGAGGAGAAGTTTACCGGGGGTCTGCAACTACTCAGTACTAAATCTCCTTCAGACCTCTTGCCGACGAGCGTTGCCCAAGGCCTCCTACTTTCCCGCGCGCGAAGAGACGCTGCTCGTGGCGAAGTGCTTATAACGATGGCCTACTCGCAAGACCGATGCACTTCGCTAGGTGAACAATGACTTTTCCACAGCAAAAAACAAAGACAAAAAAAAAAAAAAACTGCAACACCTCCGTGAAGACATCATTTTTCATAACTGCATTTCTTGAATTCTGAATTAAGGCAAGTGTTGGGAATGACTGCATATCATCATGTACATGTATTCAGTACCTAAAAGTCGCAGACGGACATTCTGTCTCTGTTCGTCTGAATGCTGCGGACATCGATGAGATCTAAGGGAACGTTGCAAAAAAGACAAATATTTAAGACTAATAAAAAGGCTCAACGAGAATAAAAGAAGGCTTGAGATTCTCTGAATACTAAAGACTGCAAAAAGAAGTTTTTTGGGAAAACTAGGCAGACAAACTAGCAATAAGAAGTTCTTAACATTAATCTTTGTCTATCCATAAAAAATAGGCACATCCCTAAATCAACAACAGCTACTTGCAGCTCCTTTTCCACGATGAGAACAAAGAGGAGAATGGCGTTAAGGAATAAGGAATGTAATCCTTGGACCTCTGTATAAAAAATAGCTTATGTCATTGCAAATTGGACCGAGAATTCTCCCTTCCGATACCAATAAAACATCATGATTCTCTTCTCAGCGAGTTCAAAAACGAATTACAAACCAAACCTACAATTTTGTTTCAAGCCTTTCCTTTGTAAAAATAAAATTCATAAAAACAGTTTTACCTTGTGCACATGCGAGCTGTATGTTCAGATATTACACCACATGTCTACAAAACAAAATATTACATAATGAAGAGTAAGGCCCAGTTCAGACGCCGACCTAGTTGAATTAAGTTCATAAAAAGATTGGCATCTGAATCAATTTGGAACGGCTATATCAATTTGGAACGGCTCATTCGTTCTTCCCGCCTGGCTTGGCTGAGAATCTCACCTTTGGAAAGCCTTTGGAACGGCTTTGATTCAGACGCGGTACTTTTCATGTGCCGATCCTAATGCATAAATTATTGTACTGTATTTTGCCCGCAGTTTGAATGATTTTACTGGAACTGTATTTGGAACAGCAAAAAAGAACGGCATCTGAATAGCCAATTACAGAAACGTGAGAGGACTGGGAAAGAGTGTGGTTGTTTTCCGTTTGCTTGAAAAACTAAGATATTCAAATGAAAGATCAACTAAATTTGAGAGTCTTAAGCAAGAACAGAAGTATTTAGAGGAGGAAAATGGCAAAATGACAGCTCTTCAAATATCCCCTAAAATAGAGGGTTTGTACGGATTGGGTAGACATGCCAGAAAATTGTAAGGGTTTGTATGGAATTTTTGCAACTTTTGCATGGCTCCAATTTGGACACTTTTCCGCTGAACACTCTCAAACTTGACTGGGTAGCTTTTCTTTCCGTAACATTTCAGTTGAAATGTTTAGATTTTCAATGTAATCAATATAAGAAACTCGTCCCAGTCCTCTCACGTTTCTGCAATGGGCTATCAACAGAAGTACTTTTGTTAATTTGGGTCAGTCCAAATTTGAATTGTGTTCGGCTCATGAAAATTTCGGCGTCTGTAATGCTGATACTTAAAAGTCTTGCAGGAAGTGTTTGAAATGTAACGTTCCGTTGCATTGAAAGCAAATGGAAAAATAAATCCTCATTTAAAGTATCGTCTTTTTCAAAACACGTTGTAAGTACTCTTCTGAAGTGGGTGTTTTTGTTTTGTTTGCTCTGTATTGTAATGTGATGTTTAAAAAAAGGAAATTCTTTTTGCTATAGCTTAATAATGCATAGAGAAAAGTTTGTTTTTATTGTGAGAAACAACATGAATTTTCTTGAAGTAAAAGTACACACCTGGGAAAGAAGGTTCTTCTTCTCATCTGAAAAGGATAATTGAAACAGCTTATGTTTTATCATAATGACAAACACAAATTTTCCTAATTATTAGCCAAAAGATTGTCAGCCAGTTCAAAATGAATCAACTGCCACTGACTTGGTCACCTTCCCTTGTAGTTATGGGGGAAACATAGCTGCATTATGACAAGCATTTTAACCACTTGACCCAAAGGACACATTTGAGCCTGGACAGGCCATGGTGTTTTGTTCTTTGGCCAGACACTTTACCCCCCTCAGTACCTAGGGGACCTAGGTGGGGGGGTACTGACAGGTGCTGATGAACTGCATAGGAATTCTCACAAAATACCAAGAGAAACCCTTGAATAACCTGAATAAAGGCTGATAGTTTCAAAAGAAACTATTTGGGGCTGCGTCGGTGGGAGTAACAAAATAATTTGGATATATCAACAAAGTTGAAATGGTAAATTGGCCACCGTAATGATTACAAAAGCTGACGTTTCGAGCGTTAGCCCCACAATAGAGGAATTGTGGGTTCGGTTGTGTGTGCTTTTAAAGGCAGAAAATGGAGCTACGTTATTGGTGGGAACATGGCAATGAGAAAAACACGAATAAATTAGTGGAATGAAAAGCGTTCGTTGATCCCTGTGGGATTTAGACTGCCGGTTTGAAAGATGAGCTTTTGTTCAAGAGTTTTACAGCTTTCCGTGCTACCTAAGTGTAAGGACAGGTTTATCACAGCTTCACTCTCATCACCTATCAAGTAACTAATTAGAATCTATTCAAAATTACAGTGTACACACCATTTCCAAGGGGTTCAAAGGCAGCCACAGTGAGCCCAGTCTACAAAATATAAAAACTGAATTACCACAATAAACTTTTATAAAATCATTTCCTGCATTACTCAAAGCATTCTATGCAGCATCATGACAGAAATAAGCTGAATTTTTACCCTTGTTGCTGGCAACTCGCCACTGTGAACAGAACTAGGTGTGCCTGGACGTGGTGTACCAACTTCACCTTTAGACCAAAAAAAATAACAACAAAAAAAAAATTTCAACGGAAGTCATAAAATGTACTCAGCAAGACTTAACATAGTAAAATTTTTAACTATTCAACAGAACCACAAACTGAACTAAAAATTAGTAATCACTTCACATACCATTCTTTCTCGGGGCTTTTGCTCTTCTGGGTGAATTTCCCTTGGAAGACAAAACGATTTTGATTAGAAAGAAAGTAGGACTTAGGAGGTAGTAATGATTAGAAGTGGCCATCCCTTCCTTTCTTGATTAACGATTCCACTCCTCTTTGCCTTATTGTGTGTTGTTAAACACATAGCTTGAATAACCCCCAAGTGTGACTGCCATATAATTTCCCCTCATTGTAATGCTTAAGAATTAAACATTAAGGTCATGAAAATAAACAAAAAGATCGCTATCCTAAGAAGCTTTGATTTTTAAATGAATTTTCCTTGTCAGTACCAAAGGAAATGTATAGAGAAGAAGATGGAGAATATGGATTCTAATGTCAAGGCATAAAGGGTTAATTTTAGAGTTTATTCATAACAAAATGAGAATTTAATTTCCTCAGCTTCTTAAAAAGTCATCACCATTTGAAAGCTTACCCTGTCTCTCTTATTCTTCTTTCCTGCAAAGTGAAAAAAAATAAACATTTCTTCTTTTTAACTCTAGAAAACTCTTTACATTTGTAATAAGTGGCATGTACATTGTACAATAGAATATCTAAAAAAAGGTCAGTAAATAAGTTACCAGATAACTGATATATGCCCCAAAGGAAGTGGAAACGAGTCTCAACAAACCTGGTTTTCTATCTGAATTCCACGTCCAGTCGTCATCAAAGTAGTTGTCATCATCATCATCTCCATCAATCAGTTTACCTGTAGTTGCAAGCCTGGCAAAATGACACATGATGGAAAACTAACACTTACATCTCATTGATGGAAAACTATTTTCAACAAGTCTTGTAAATTAATATTGTAAAACTGCGACCTGTAATGGCTTCAATTCATGTTCTACAAAACAAAGTCTTGAATAAAATGCTCAGCCTGGTAATTTTTCCAAGGAGAATCCATCTAAATTTTCAAACAGAGTACCCTTAAGCAACTGTGCCTCTTGATGCAACCTCCTACAGGCCAGAAGCAAGTAGTTTTTTAACAAATTTTTCCCATGGTTATTGATCAACAAAATCAAGTCCCAGCAGACCAAATATACTACAAAAAAAAAAAGCACCAGAAATGCAAGTAAATGAAAAAAAAAAAAAAACCTACAATACTTTGTATTACGTATGATGCACAAAATTTTTTGTATTCTAACTTATTGGAAATATTCATTATTCTACAAATGATCAATGGTGGACCATCCTTCTGCATAACTTAAAATTTACCATCAGATATATTTTCAAGTTTCTTTTCTACTGAGAAAATCCCAAAAATTAGTTTCCAAAAGAAATTTCCATCATTCTGTTGCAATTTCAAATAAGATAATTGAATAATTCATTCAAACAACCTCCTACTGGCCAGTCGGCTGCTGTTACGACCCATTCCCAGGCATTTCTCTAAGTGAGGGGCAAATCTGTTGGCAGCCATGTTCCTCTGACAGCTGGGACACACACACTCAACCTGTTTCTTTAATGGTCCTTGCCCAAACACATCAAGACCATCACGGTCCACCACTTCTGTGATAATAAATTAAAGAGGGACTTCATTCCCATGGGTGACCAAGAAAGAATTTCTCCTTTCCGTATCAATAAAACATAAAGCAGACAAGAGACGAGAGCAAAGAAAAATGTTAATTAGGGGATTATTAGTTGATCCGCCACCAAATTCTCCAGAATACAGTAACATTATAAGAATTGTATAGCAGACACCTCTGACGAAGGGCTAACACTCGAAACGTCAGCTTTTATAACCATAACGGTGGCCAATTTACCATTTCAACTTTGTTGATACATTCAAATTATTTC